GAATGCTCCAGAGAATGCTTTGAAAATGAAAAGTTCCTTTTCAAGCGTTTGTGTTTTCTGCCATCTGGATGTGAGAAAATGAATGTAAGAGAAAAAGAATGACGCGATAGCAACACTGTTTGACATTTTGGAAGTTTCCGTAGCAGAGAAAAAAAACCAACCCTCCGAGCTGTGGCAAACGAAACAACAGATGATGTAACATTCCAGGAATTTCAAGCGCATTTTCACCAAAATTCAAAGATTTGAGATTTTCAAACAGAAACTTCTAAAATATTAAAAAAAAATACACTAAAAATTAATGGTGTCACGACACGGCCTCTGTGACTGAGGATATCAGTTACAATGGGTAGAGGAACAGAAACTTTTGTGTGGCGATGAGTCGCGTGTGGTTCTGCCGAAAAATGAGAGGACTACGAAAAGGGTATTATAAACACCACGCGCGTAAAGCAGGAAAAAAGAACCAAGCCACATCAGCTAACAATTTTTTTTACATGAAAATGGTAGTGCGGATTTTTGCGCAAATTTCGGTGAATTTTCTGCATAGAACGATACATTTTCCTTCACATTTTCAAAGGAATCTGCGCAAACGTTCTCTTGTAAAACATTGAATTGCCCAGTTAAATCGTCGACCGGCTGACATAGGGCACACATTGAGATGAGCCCGAAAAGTCATTCAATTGTATGGACAACAGGGTTCATTGCTGATTGTAGTTACGCCCCAACGTCAGGCAGGCGACGAAAATTGGCAGTATAGCTGATGTGACTTGGTTCCTTTCTACTAAGCGCGGTCCTAACGGAAAAACTAGATCGTGGAAGCGTGAAAATCGCTTAATGGAAAGCCCTGGATAGACGATTCAGTCAGTGCGCATTGCGCAATGCTTGAAGTATCCCTTTAGGTTTGTAGGCGTCAGTGAGCATTGCGAAATGCTTTAAGTATCCCTTTAGGTTTGCAGGCGTCAGTGAGCGTTTCGAGCTGATAGCGGCGGCACGCAGCACGCCGCGTAGCGTGCCATGAACTTGCCCACAATTAATAGGTCAGGGTGTTAAAATGTAAGCAATTTGACATCAAATTCGAAACTGGCAACTCAAAAAAACATCAGTTACGAAACTTTCGTGATCCTTCAGTCATTATCCGACTTATTTCTTCCCATTCTTGAATTATGGACCATAGTGCGCCGCGGGCGGCGGCGCTCATAAAATTCTCCCCTGTGCTCAATCGATGAATAGGACCCAAAAGCCCTGGACAGACGATCAAATTCCGATCGAAGTACACATGCCGATGACTGATGGTCACCATCTACCATCAAATTTTGACGGGCCGCACTATTTTGTTCAAAGTAAGATCAGAATGGAGTGCCACCATTCGTCATTTCCTGCCACGGGGAATATTTCTGCCAAGTTTTCATTTTAAAATTAAGCAAATTAATGAGTTTGAGACTGATGACTCCCGACACTTTGATGGTGATTGGTTCGGGAATTTGATCGTCTATCGAGGCCTGCAATGCGATTTCTGATCATTTCAAGAAAAAAAGAAAAAAACAGGAGTGCAGGTGATTTAATGAGTGGAAATGCCCTCGGATGGATTCGACGAATTCTCTGATCTAGTTTCTGCCTTTCCGGCCGTCGGGCAATGGCATTCTGCATTGATTAGGCATATGCCTCACCTCGACCATTGTTTTCCTGGGTTCAAGGCTGTAATAGTCGCCTGAACGAGCACCGTTCCACGCCACAACGCGCACCGCCACCGCGGAACTGCTTAAAGGAACTAGCTCTTCAGTCGATGGAAATTTCGAATGGAAAAAGACAAACTTCATCGAATTTATATACTTGGGATTTTTTTCAACTTCCATCAATGGGTTAGTTGCGCAAGACACACCGTATTTTTCTTCATATCACAAGAACGGAGCCCTTAAATGATGCTTCCCACTGCAATGCACAGCGTTGATAACGACTCAAAGACAATGAAATACGAGCGATCTGTAACGTTCCCATCGGTTTCACCCTCTCTGAAAAATCTTGAGATGTTATTATGACTTAAAGAGTCCTCTCTTGTCGACAAAATAATATCTCAAGATTTTTTTTTTTTTTTTTTTTTTTTTTTTTTCAGTGCTCCAAATGCATATCTCCTCTCAGTTTGAAAACAGTAGGTTGAGACAGAAAAAGGTGCGCTTTGACGCAAATGAAATAATGGAAAAATCTGTGTAGAGAAGAGACCTTGAAAGGCAAAAAGGGGGGAAAAATTTGCTGTGCGTTGAAATTGCTTGCAATGAGGGCTCTGATTATATGGTTTTGTTGATTGAATAAAAGTAACGGTAAAAAATCCTTTTATCATGGTTTACAAAAAAATGTGCGGCTGAAAAAATGAGCGAAAAAGGGTGAAAAAGGGGTGAAAAAAAGGGTAAAAAAGAGTAAACAGGGGCTTACGATAGGCACTCTAGTATCCCTTTTTACATACATACGAGTCGCTGTTATAGCGCTCTTTGGCGCTTTGCGACACCTAATCGCCACAAAGCTCGGTCTTCCCACAGGTTATCAGGGAGTTGACACTCCCTCATCTCACTTAACACCCCCTGTCGCCAACCTCTCACTGGGCGTCCCCTACGCCTCCTCCCAGGAGGAACCCAATCAAGTATCCCTTTTTGCCAGGAAATAATTTCTTCACAACTCGTTGCTCTAACTGAGTTGCAATGGAGCACTAATTGAGTTCATTGACTGACAAAATTTTCTAACTTTCAAACGTGGATAAAATTTACGGACTTAAGTTTTCTTAAATTTTCAAGATTTCGGTACCCCACTAAAGAAAACAGCAAGGACGCGCACAAATCGTGAAGAAGCACCATGGTCTTTATCAACGCCAGGAAAATATAAATATAAACACGATGGACGATAAAGTCCCGTGTCGTTACGTGTGTTTTAGCAGGTTGGCGTTTGTCATGTTGAATATCGACGGTGAAACTACCAAACCACGTATCTCGGTTTGCGACGTCGCAGACTTCCTGTCATACTTTATTTTTTAAATAAAAAGCTACTTAACGTCCAGTCTTGAAAATTTCCGTGATTTTTCCTCTTCGTGCGGAGAAAATTCTGTGAAAATTTCAAGGAATGATATTGATTTGGTCTACTTCAAAAAAATAAAATGTGAGCGGAGATTTTTAAACACCGCAAACGAGATACGTGGTTTGGTAGTTTCACCGTCGATATTTCGTAGCAGCCTGGTGCGCAAGGGTTAGATAGAAGGGCTGAATGAAACTACTCTTGATAGGAAAAGTTCACCTTATTTGTGCCGGAGTATCATTTTTGAAGCGGTAGGCTTAAAAAACGAATAGTTCTCACGAAAATTGTGACGTTAGGAGTGTATTACAGACTTTCCCGATGCGCTTGTCGTTATCTGCGAGCCATTCCCTACGAAAAATAACTCTTCCTTTTGCTCTACTTGAGGTTTGCAATGGGCCCACGGTAGGTGATTTATGGTGCTGTCCGCCGGGTAAGTCCTTCATTGTGCCCAGCGGGCTGATTGTTGAAACTGATAGACAAATCGATAGACAAAGAAGATAAAGGGAGTATGGGGCGATCCTATGGGCTGAAATGGGTGGTTCCGATAGACTTAGTGAGAAAATGATGGACTAAGTATGGTTAGTTAGTTATTATAATTTTAAGACATTCAGCGTCTCAGGCTTTTAACGTCTTTACAGATAATTTTGAAGATGGGAGTATAAACGAAAATTTAGATTCTTAAATTAAGAGAGGTGAAGAGTTTTAGAATTTACTTAGGGTCTCTAGCGAGTTGCCGTTAGTTAATATATTGACTACCTCTTTTGTCCATCGCAACCACCCGCCTCCACCAATAAGATCCTTCCATATCCTAAGCGGACGTATTTCTGCCAAACGGAACTATGCGTATCATAACGTGAGCCATGTTATGCATATATTCTAATGGGTCTCAGGGCTCATGTCTTAATGCGTCGTTCAAAATTTTCAGTCAAAATTCCAGATACATGTAAATTCTCATTTACGCAATGATAGAAACTACGAAACGTCAGTGCAGCTCCTGGACTTCTGGGAGTCTCAATTTTCTAAAAATTTCTCGGCGTTCAGACTTAACTACGATCGTAAAACTTGCACCTAGTCACACGCGTCGCAATCGATGGAACAAGTGCAAATGGTCCGGAACACAGCAGCTCGTGCCAGCATTGCCAAATTTGTCTGAAAATGTTCGTTCCTCAATTGTTCCGCCAGTCGCCGAGGGCGTTAATTACGGTCGTTTACCAGCGGTGCCCGGCGCTGACCGAAAAATTTACGATCCAGGAAGCGGACTGCGCGATGCCATACCCGTCGCATTGGTCACCGCGCGACCTTGCACCTCAATCTTGTCCCATATTCCCGGGACACGCGTCGCGCGGCTAGTCGTCCGACGCTTGTCCCAAGAGCGAAACAGTCAGCCTTTTTTTGGTGGGTTTATGACGCATGATTGTTATTATAGGCGACGTCGTAATGACCCTGTTGCCAAGTTTTGCTCAACTTCTCATTTAAACACATGTATTTTAGCAGATTAGATTATTTTGTCATATCTCCCGATAATCGTTCGATTTATGAACTGAGAGTATCCTCGTGTTCAGCTCACTCAATAGTTTCCACTGAAAAACGAAATTCATCACATTTCAGACACCTGCAAATTCTCCATTATGGAGAGTTGGGCGACCAGACTGTGGGAAAAAGTTGACGAGAATTCCTTACAGTTAAAATCATTTTTTCTTTTACTTTTTTGTCCCCGCGATACAAATTGAACAAAATGAATAGATCCTGGCTTCATATTGAAGCAGAAGCATACGAAATTGTAAATATGATTCTACCCATCAGAAAAAAATTGACCTAATTAAGAATATAATTTGACAACCGTTCTCTCGGAAAAGTATGTGAATATATATGCAAATATTACTCTTCTCTCGTAATCAAACATTTCTACAAAAGTGAAAAGATATCCTGTGAGGACAATGACTCACTGATAAAATAAAGCAGCAAAAATGAATGGCAGTCTGGAGCAACGTACCTAGAACAGAAAAAGAAACCACATCAAATTAATGAGCTGCCATCAAAAAGATAAAAAAGAAAAGAGAAAAAAATTTCTTTGGAACACACGAAGTTGTTTGGGGCGTTGACGTTATTTTTGTCTTTTGTTAGGTGAATTTCATTTTTCTACTAGAGAACCATTAAATTTTCACTGCAGAAATTTTAGGTGCGAGCGAAATTTTGTGACTTACGGCGGGAGAAAAAACCCCGCAGTTACCTTGTAAAATTTGCAAATACATGAAAATTTAAAAATACACGAAAATTTACAAACACGTGAAAATTCAAATACAATTACTAATTAATACCGTTGAAAGGACGAGGTCCTAGAGACAGAATCTTCTGCTAATACCATTAACCAGAGGCAACAGCGAGTTGGAAACACTGTTAATACTCATTTAAATCCATTAAATACATCGATTCTAGGTTAGACAGGCTGCCTCACCGAGAATCGATTATTTAACATACATTTAAATGGAGAAAAAAAAGCGTTGTCAACTTACAGAATCGCCACTGTAATTACCGACTACTGACGGTAAAAGTTGAAAACTAGATTTCTTTTCTTCAAAGGAAAACTTTTCTAGGTAGGAAATTTATAGGAATTTAAACTTATTTCTCCTCATACATACGTCATAGGCGATAAACAATCGCCAGAAATTAGCAATCAGTATGCATGCTGCCTCATCAGATTGCAATGATTTGCATCGGCAAGATAAGGGTTTCATCGGTAAAGATTTTCAGGACCACGACCTCGACATAGAGCGCCTTCGGTTACCCGTGATACTCTACGCTTTGCCACGCAGTTAGTTTAGTTGCCGATCCGAATCAAACCTAACTAATTCTGCAGATTTCTTTTTTCGTGAGTATGCTAGCTGGCAACTCGGATTCAAGAAGTAGACGAAGTCTTCTTGAATTTCCAGCATAATAGTCAGTGCTTTCTGTATTGTTTCTTTCTTTCTTTCTAAATTCTAACAATTTTCTATTCATCACCAACGGACTGCGAATTGCCAGCGGTTGCTGCATGGTTACCGCATATTCCGTAAAAAGTTAAACAGATAACGTGCATTAACTTCGTTGAAAAATAGATGAAGGAGAGATTTCAAACCCGTAAAACGTCGTCATCGAGATAAGTGTGTGTTTCAACTTTAACCACCCTTTTTGTGGCTGCGGTTCGTGTGTATGTACCACATTTTAATGATAAACTGCTGCACTTTAATAGCTTGGCACGATAGTACACGTAAAAGAAAGTAAGTAACTTTAAGCATTTTACGTCAGCAGTATTTGCAAAAAGCGCCTTTTTTCTACAAATGAATCAGGAAAAGTGCATTTTATACATAATGGCAGATTTATGCATTAGCGCACATTTGCAGGAGTGAAATGCACAAGCCATGAAATAAGATCTGATGAATTTACGGTGATGAAATGTTAGTCACAAAATGCGAAAAGCGCGGACGGTTGTGTTATCCGTCGGTCTGCTGGTGCTGATTTCCCAACTGGGTACAATTTGTGAGTAAAATTTTGGATTCTTGCTTCAAGCAGTTGAGCGACCCCAATGGATCTAAATGACCAATCAAACAGAATCCATTCGCATGATAAGTTTTATAATTGAACACATTTAAAGAAATAGGTCAATTTGCATCGGAAAATATAAAATGAAACATGATAGCATCGTTCGAAACTGTTAACACAGTAAATGAACAAAAATACAAAATTCGTCGCTCCTCTGGCGCACTGGAAAAAAAAAACATATTGAATCTAGAGTCCAGACTCTTGAAAACATTGACAAGAATGAGGACTCTTGATTCAATCAGATTTAAGCTTAAATCAAAAGGAAATCCGCTCAAATTAAGAGGCTTGGTTCTTGATTTAAGCTTAAATCTGATTAAATCAAGAGTATTTTTTTCTTGTCGATGTTTTAAAGAGTCTGGACTCTAGGTCCAATATGTTTTTTCTTCCAGTGCGTAAGAGCGTATTTTAATTCTCACATGAGCCTTGGAAAGCACGGATTTATACGTAAAGCAAGACTCTCATGGAAATTGAGGTACGCCGTTAAGCCAGAGGAGCGACGAATTGGAGGCGGGCACGGATTTGGCTCACAGTCAGTCGGAAACTGAGGAACATGTCCAAACTACTCAAGACTGAATTAAATGTTAGAGGCTGTAACGAGGTTTTAACACTCCGCCAAGATGGACTTCTTACGCTTAATATGGAGCCCACGCCAATTGGACCTCGCTCAGCAACAAGGAACCAAGCCACGCCGGCTAATGACAAATTTAACTAGGATATTTAATATTTTACTAGGGAACGTTTATGCGGACTCCTTTGAAAATTTTAGGGAACTTGCTTCGTACTTTGCAGGAAATTCACTAAAATTTGTACAAAAATCCGCCTAACCAATTTCATGTAAAACATTAAATCTCTGAAATTGCCCAATTAAATTCGGCAATGGCTGATGTTGCTCGATTCCTTCCTGCTTAACGCGCTTTTTAGTTCTCGGACTTACAGAGTGCGAAAGAAGATCGTCCGTTTCCAGTCTGGAATTGATGGTAAACGCAAAAATCATGATAGCGAATTTTCTATCGCACTCCAAGACTCATCTTCTTTCTTGAAGTGAACGTATTTCTGCCAAACGGAACTGTGTGCAAGACAAGAGCATCGAGACCCGTAAGAATATATGCATAAAGGGGCTCACGTCATAATGCACGTAGTTCAATTTTGTAGAAATACGTCCATCAAAGACATTAATTGAATGCTTTCTTTTTCTCCTTCTTTGTTTTGGGATATTCAGTCGCGTGGAAATATAAGTATTACAAAGGGATACTCTTGCTTTCGAAGGACCTGTGCGCTAACAGGTGCAAGCTGAAACATGGGTTCTTCAAAGACGGCAACGGCGTCTATCAACCGGCTTCTGTAGCGAAGAGATACCTCATCAAATGCCAGTGCATGGTTTCTCGCCAGCTCAAGACATACATCAAGAAAAGATGGGGTAGAACGGTATGATTCAATTCCTGAGCGTCCTGTGTCAAGCAGTGACGATTCTAGTTTTGCATGTGTTTGCGATTTGACTATTTTTCAAGCGCTCTCAGAAGAAGCATTAACACATTCGCTTGCAAATAGAGAATTTTTAGGTGTCTTAAATTTTGTGAATTTCACCTATAAAATGGTACTACTAGGAAAACTGAGCACGAGGGTATCCTTGGTTTCTAAGTAGAACAATGGACCACTAGACAAGGCACGAATTCAAGCATTCTGATACATGTGTCGTAATCAGAAGTTCACGTAGAACACGATTCGCGCAACGAAAATTACTGAGACCAACCCCTAACGAAGATAATTACCTTTTTATTTTACATTGGTTACGCGGATTTTGAACTGCCCGCTCACAAGAAACTCAAGGCTCTACGTGAGTCCAGTCGCGGACTACAACAGTTTCAGCAAGCCTCTCAATCGAGCAATGTTCATTTCCCACCATGTGTTGTTCAAACTATAAGCAATTTGCTATAGCTGAGCCAAAGCGTCAAGACTGAGGTTGCCAGATTTTTATATCGCAAGAGACTGTCATGATAACGTGTAGCGCACGATGTGAATCACGCAGAGCATTTAGTTTTCATGAGCGGGTGGTTTGCATTTACGCATCAAGAATCATTAAATATCTTCTTAAGGAGTTAATTTCGGTAATTTTCGTTGTGGGTATCGTGTTCTAAGTGAAATTTTGGTTAAGAAACATGCATCAGAATGCTGAAATTCGTACTTTGTCTAGTGGTCCATTAATGGAGAAAATATGACAAAATAACCAAATCTGCGAAAATACGTGTGTTAAAATGAAAAATGCCGCCAGATGACGGCATGAGGCGGCACATTTACTCACTTTTAAATTTATTTTTCTCCAATTTCTCGAATCATAAAAAAATTACGAAAAATGCTGCGAACTCAGCTCATTAAGCACTCTTAGATGAAACAATCCAATTTGTGTCAGCAAATTCTTTATTCTCCATTCCAGGCATCAACATGGTACAGTTTCTACAACTTCTTCGGGATGAAGAAGCGGTCGCGGAAGTACCTGGAGAAGCGGATCGTGAAAGAAAAGAAAAAGAAAAAAACATTCGTCGAGGAAATCGAGTTCATAACGTACGAGAAGCTGCAAGGAATGATGGAGAAAACCGAGGAGATAAAGCGGAGTTGGAGTTCCGGTTCAAGCTCTTCCTCCCAGACAGGGTCGGGGGCAGGGAGACTGCCCTCCGACGAAGTAATCAAGAACACGAAGCTAGAGGTTGAGATTCAGACTTTCGGGGAGGACGGAAAGCCAATACCGGGTAAAAAGCGAAAAGTGGCTCTCAACACCGGGGAGACTAAGGTACTCCAAGACCTGCTCGAGGATGTGGTGGGGAGGGTCAAGAGAGAAGATGGTAGTGAGGCATCGATGGCAAGTGTGGCGATGACTCGAACCACGTCGTCGACGATAACTTGCGGCCACCATTGATCTGACCATCTGACTCACAGGCTCTGCCGTGATAGCGAAGGCAGCAGTGAGTGCAAAAATAGCTTCTTTCGTTAAAAGTTTCCTGTCAGATTTCTCAAAACTCTTTTTTGCGCTTACTGCTCTCTCCGCTAACACGGCAGAATGAAAGAGCGGTGACCAATCTTCGTGATTTTATGGATTCCCAAAAGACCACAACTACCGTGATAGCGAGGAGAGCAGTGAGTGCAAAAATAGCTTCTTCCAATAAAATTTTTCGGTCAGACACTTCTGAACCCGTTTTCTCAAAACTTAATTTTTTTGCACTTAATGCTCTTTTCGCCATCACGGCAGTGTAGTGGTCTACTGGGAATCCATTAAATCATGAAGATTGGAAACCGCTCTTTTTTGCTGCCGTGCTAGCGAAGGGAACAGTGAGTGCAAAAATGGCTTCTTTCGATGAAATTTTCCCGTCAGACGCTTCTCAGCCCGTTTTCTAAAAACTCTATTTTTGCATTTACTGCTCTCTTCGCTATCACGGCAGAATGAAAGAGCGGTTTCCAATTTTCATGAAATTATGGCTTCCCAAAAGACCACAACTGCCGTGATAGCGAGGAGAGCCATCAACGCAAAAATTAAGTTTTGAGAAAACGGGCTCAGGAGCGACTGACCGGAAAAATTTATCGAAAAAACCTCCGTTCTTTCTTAAATTGCCACTAATCACCTGAAAGACTCTTAGAAATAGCTTAGCAGATCGAAAATCGACCGATTTTATTTCGATTACATAAAAAGGGTGTTTTGCATTTTCATGTTAGGCTAGAGTTAGGCAAGACAGCCGTAAGTGATATCGTCTGTATGCTTTCGTGGTTGCGTTATGGATACACAACCAATCCTAAAACATGTAACTAAACAAACTGTCATGTAAAGCGTAATTACTTCTAGTCTTATCTCATGAATTGTACGTCTCCTTCGCAATAAAGACAATTTTCCTATGCTTTAGTCTGAAATTGGATTATTCTTATTGAAAAATACACTGCGAAAACCCACACTGGAAAAAAAAGTAGCTTGGATCAAGATTGATTATTCTTGAATTTGCCGCCAAGAATTTGTTTTATCTTGCTTTAAGCTGACTTTTTCTTGATAAAAGAAATTTAATGCTTGAGTTAAGCTAAAAAGTAGCCTATATTAATCAACAAACTTCTTAATTTAAGAAGAAATACTTCTTGGCGGCAAATTTAAGATTCTTTTTTTTTTTCCAGTGCAAAGAAAAAAGTATGCCGTTTTTCCAAAGGACTACCTCGCGCATGGTATGCCCGCGTGTTCCAACGGGAAATTTCATAACCATTCATTACTTTTCCTGTGAGATGTGGGATTATTTCCGAAGAAAGGTATACCCTTCCTGTAACAACAGCAAGAACCAAGAACTTGGAACTTAATTTGCTCAAAAAGTCGTTTTGCCTCTCGTGCCGTTCTTCCACCCACATTGACTTTATTTCCACGTACCGCATAAACGTATTGAATCACACTGTGAAGATTCTCTTAATGTTGAAAATTTTAAAATTGCTAAAATTGTGAGAGTTTCGCCGCATTCTTGGCTGAAAAAAAGTTAATGCACTACCTGCGTCAGTGAAAATTATCATCCTAATTCTGAGTATCCTCCTTTTGTCTTTGAATCAACACAAAAAACCCATCGAAACCGTTTGCCGACGCTGGCAAATCGTTGACGTTGGTGGTGTCAATTTTTTACCCTCGACAGTCTCCATTTTTTACCGTTGACGAAAACGCAGAGCTGTGCATTTGCAGACAACGTGCGATCCTGGCGTGATAGTTCCAACAAAAATTCATTTCGTCGCGCAAAAAAAAAAGGTAAAAAAATAAAAATTCAAGTGAATTGCGGAAACCGTAAGTCTAGTTTTCATTCAATACGGGGTGGCTTCGACGCAAATTTCTAAAAAAGAAGCTGCAACCGTACATATTGGCTTTAGAGTGAGAAAAAAGAGACGAGACCTTGGTAACTATACGCAATGGCGAGAGAATGGCTTTTCAAAACTATACAGGGTGTCCCAAAAATTGATGCGAATAGTTTCCGCGTCGACTCCGGGATCAGAATACGACTTTCTTGCACTTTAAGTTTTCTAAAAAAAATCCCTTTTCCAGGACAGGGTGTAACTTCATTTTTTTTGTTTTTTGAGGTCGAGTATGTGTTCAGCGTGTAAAAAAACGCAACCAAGACGAGCCAATTTTCATGAATTTTCACACATGATTCTCGTCACAATAGAAAAAAAAACTATCTTCGACCTAAACTTCGAAAGGCTGTTATTCTCAAGAGGGTGGGATTTTTTGGGAAAACGAAATAAAACAAAAAAGTCTTATTTCGATCACAAAGTTCGATCACAAAAATGCATTTCTGTTGGCAGCCCTGCTGACATACTGTCATTGATATCTTTTTTAGGTATGAAGGAATACTTAACGTGATTCCTTGTAAAATATTCATTGAACATTTCAAGCAACTGTGTTCGTTTGTTCTCCTTTGATAAAATAAAATGGAGACGAAGATTTTGAAACACCGCAAACGAGATACAGGTTTAGGCAATTTTGCGGGCTGATTATTGAAAGTGATAGACAAAAAAGACTTAGTGTACATGGAGCGATCCTAGTGGTTGAGACGGGTGGCTGTTATAGACTAAGGAGGAAAATAATGGACTAACTATATAGGGTCTATAGGGTACTAATAGGGTCTCTCGTGGGATGCCGTTAGTTTGTCTATTCATTACCTCCTTTGTCTATTGCAACCACCCGCTTCTAATAAGAGGACTGCTTGATTTTCCTTTTGTCTTCTTTGTCTACATCTTTGTCTATCGTTTTCAATAATCAGCCCGCTACCGTCGATATATTGGTCTGAAATCAACCAACATATATAGGCTGGTAGTAGTGGTAGTATATATATTAGATTAACTAAACTATAACTTAAATACAAATTGAGGGTACTTCAGAAAAATTCCATGTCATTTCTTCATCGGGCGGTTTTTGATAAAAAGAAGTAAAACGTGACTAATTCAATTAACCGTTAAAAGAAAACCCATGACACAGATATCTGCGTGTATTTGGTTGCGTGCCAAGCGTCAAAGGTAAGTACGTTAGCCATTTTGCAGCGGATGATTAAACCAGAAGTGCATTTCTCACCCTGGGGCAACGAGAAAACCTGCACATTTGCAAGTGACAAGCTTGACACATATGAGTAACGATGTTGTGGAATTACTCGCCGAAATATGAAGAACAGCCTCCTATTCCTGATATCCGTCTGTTTAACAGCACTCCTCTTTCAGCCATGTTCTACAGGTGAGAATCATTTTCTACTCAGGGTGGCTAGCAAAATTTCATTTTATCATTCCTTGACTTTTCCTTGACTTATTCACGATAACGTAAAGGGCACTTGATTAATATTGTCAAAACGTTGGCACAACAACGTAACTACAGTAAGCAAGTTTTTTGGTTTAGAATGATTCTTTACGTTCATACGCAATTGCGCAGGGGTTATTGTCCTTTTCTGAGCTAAAAATTCAAGATCTGCCGGGATGTTTTACCTAATCGATGTGATATATCGCATGCCGGTTCTATCACCTCACTTGAGCTTGATGAATCACCTTCATAGCCCGCTTCGGCTTGAAGTGCCTTCAAATTCGGATGATACTCTCCGCTTTGCCAGGAAGTTAGTTTAGTTGCCTAGCCCAACTAGCATCAATGATTTCACTACATGCAGTTTATTTTAACGAGTGAAACCGATTCTCAGTCGCTGCGCATTATTGCAATTTTACGAAATATCCCACATGCGCTTCTTAAATGGAGATGTTGCATGTGTGAGGAATTTGCGATTTGACTGTTGATTCTTAAGTAAAAGTTTGCGAGAAACACGATGGTGCCACTGGTTTTCTCTGAAATTAACTCCTAAGCTCAAAAAAAAGCTCTCAAGTTGACGCCAAAATGGAGGGGATATCCCACCCTACCCTGAGAGTCCACCTCTACATCAAAACAAACTCTCCATGCAAAGATAGGGAGCAAATACATTAGCAGGGTTGCCGTGTTTTCAGTTTTGGAGTCCCCAAATACATTAGCAGGGTTGCCATGTTTTCAGTTTTAGAGTCCCCAAATAAAGTGGCAGCCCTGTTAATGTATTTGCTCCCTATCTTCGCATGGAGAGTTTGTCTTGGTGTAGAGGGGGACTCTCAGGGTAGGGTGGGATATCCCCTCCATTTCGGCCTCAACTTAAGAGCTTTTTTTGAGCTTGGGAGTTGATTTCAGAGAAAACCAGGGGCACCATCGTGTTTCTCGCGAACTTTTACATTAGAATCAACAGTCAAATCGCAAATTTCTCACATATGCAACATCTTCATTGCCGGTGCTGACTGCCTGCAACCTGCAGCACATACATCGATCCGACTACTATTTCGGATGTTGCAGCTTCCGGGAAGATACGCCACTGGAAGGGACTACTCCTGCTCTCGAAGGACGGATGCGCCAACAGATGCAAATTTAAACACGGGTACTTCACGGACGCCGCCGGCGAGACCCAGCTTGCTGCCAAAGCCAAGCGTGGGATTATCCCCGGAAAATGTCAGTGCATGGTATCACCGGAGCTTAGGAAGTATATCACACAAAAAATCAGCCTCAGGGTAACATCCTCGAAGTTTTTACCCAGCATCGAATTTAGGACAGTACACACTGGAAAAAAAAACACATTAGATCTAGAGTCCAGACTCTTGAAAACATTGACAAGAAAAAATACTCTTTATTCAATCAGATTTTTGCTTAAATCAAAAGAAAATCCGCTCAAATTAAGAGGCTTGGTTCTTGATTTAAGCAAAAATTCGATTGATTCAAGAGTATTTTCTCTTGTCGATGTTTTTAATAGTCTGGACTCTAGATCAAATGTGTTATTTTTTCCAGTGCAGGGTTGTCATTAATTTCTTCGTCTTTAATTTCCTGCGTTTTCCTGACCTTTGGACAAAATTTCTATAATTTTTTCTCTTCTAAATGCGATGACTTTCGCTGAAAATTGGGACAAAATTTCCTTGTTTAAGATATCAAATTACGGAGAAAGGCATTAACTGGTGAAAACATGACAAGCCTTAAAAATGACTGGAAAGGGTTGACCATGAGTATGTTTGACAATGGGTCAGTCACGCTGGTCACAGAATCCTGTTTTGATGCTTTAATCTTTAAGACTAACTTAAAATAATTCGATCTAAAACAGCCTTTCTCTGAGCCCAATATTAACCGAGATATCGCGCTTTGAAAAAATCGGTTTATGGATTTGGTACAACTGATCACAATAAACTCACCGAGGTTTCCGTGCTTCGGACTATGTCTCCTAAGTGTCATGTCTATCAACAGGGTGTCTACTAAAACAGGCTGGCCAAAAATTAGTACTTTTACAGTTCTTTTTCAGTGCATTCCCAAGATTTTCAGTACCTCCTCAACAGTAAAAATTCAGTACTTTTTCAGTACCTCCCATTATCATTAACGAAATCCGAAAAAGTTAAAAAATTGAATTTCTCGCTCAAATCACGACAAAAATGACAACAAATTTAAAAAAAATCCGGACCTTCTTGCGGAATATACGCACTTTTTCAGGATTTCCGGGCCGTCCTTAAAAAATAAGCACTATTTCCGGACTTGTAGACACCTTGATCAATATCTAACGAGTTATAAGTTGAAAAAATCGAATTTCTCGCTCAAATCACGACAAAAATGACAACAAATTAAAAAAAAATCCGGACCTTCTTGCGGAATATACGCACTTTTTCAGGATTTCCGGGCCGTCCTTAAAAAATAAGCACTATTTCCGGACTTTCCGGACTTGTAGACACCTTGATCAATATCTAACGAGTTATTCTGTATGCCTTTCCTCAGGAGGCCAACACCTACGGACGCCTGAACTTCTTCGGGATGACGAAGAGGGCGCGCAATCGACTGGGCGGGAAGGTCGAGTTCATCACTTACGAACAACTGCAACAGCGGCTCGAAGCCAAGAAGAGGACGGCGGCCGAGTTCGATAGGATCGTCGCGGCCAACCGGGCTGCAGCCGCGGCGCGCTCATCAAGTTCAAATCCCGGCAGCCGATCTACCACCCCCGGACTGAGCGGTG